ACTGTGCGAGGCTCCACCCACACAGTCGCATCATTCATTCATGGACTGAATTAATGAACTGCAAGTCCCGGCAGCCTTAGGGGCTGTTGGCTTGTAGTTTTTAATTAACTAATACGGCGCTGTGGAGCGCTGTGGTAGTTCATGGAAGCTTCCTGTCAGTATATCTGCTTACTCCTACATCCCGTACGGCAAGCAGATATTCTGACAGGTCTGCAGGAGACCTGCATGGCATCAGCAATCTACTGATTGCTGGTGCAATGCTTTCCAGGCTCCTGTACACCAAAATAATAAATGCATAATATGAATTTATTATTTTAGTCTAAAAGGTGAACTTATCCTTTAAAGGTTTAAAGGGCAACATTAAAAATACCCAATTTAAATATCAAGCTTGGGGCATGTCCACAACCTGCACATGAATTGGTACACATGAAGGATATATTTCAGAAAATGGGACATACAAATTAACAATTGCCAAAGGACAGTTCCTTCCATGCTGGCTTTTATTTGTAAACAAAGCAGCAGGAGGATGCCAGATGACATCACTGATGCCATATGTGGTCAATCACATTAGCCAGAATCCCTGGCCAATTTATTGGCATTCAGCAGTCAGATGAGGAGCTGCCATTTGTGAAGGGAAGAGAGGATTTTTGTGGCACAGTTCATCATGACTATGGGTCATTGTGACTATGGGTCATTGTGACACCGCTCATCATAACTGACTTGGATCTACATCACTGGACTATGTGATTTGACATTGGATTTACATTGGAGAAAAATGTATTTTTTAATGGACTTTGAAAAAATTTAATAAACACACACACACTCTGACATTTTGTTTGTGAATGATTAGCTACAGCTACTATGTACCCCTTTTTATCTGTACCCAATGTTTTTTTTGTGCAACTAAAAATCGTATTGAAGGAGTACCCTAAAACTCTGAGAATAGAAGTTTTTTTTTTTTTTTTTTTTTTTTTTTTTTATGGGAGGACTGTAGAGGAGAGAAACAGTAGTAGTTGTGGGTGACAATGATTGATAGACCTCAAGTAGAACCCTCCTTCACTTTACACCACTACTGTTCCATAATGCTCATCATCTCCCTATCATGGTCTTCTCACCCTGACTGTCACTACATCGTTAAATTTGCCAACCTGAGGCATTTCCAAGTCTTATCCACCTTGTCAGTGTTTATGCCTCTGTTATTAGGGCTTGACTCTGATTTACCTTGATTAATTAAACTTCTTTGTAGTGCAGTTGGCCTACACATCGTTCTTCTAATATGGATGTTTATATGGTTCCCACCACAATTGCTCACAACATGTGCACCATCTTGAGGAATGAAGGGTCTCCAGTTTAAGACTAACTGACGTGTGTTTCAAAGTCTCATATTTCGGCACGTGGGAACTAAGGTATGCAAAGGCAACTGAGTTGTGTGCTCAATAATCTTGTTGACTCTCGTGGTTAATGAACTTGGAAATGTGGGATTTGGCAATAAAGGAAAAGCTGCTGTGTACTAGAGATGCCGGTATTCTTCCAGCTATACCTTTCACTACCTTCCTTATTGTCTTCAAAATTTTGATTTTCAATGGGGGACACACTGGCATTACATTCACATTCTGGCCTAGTGATTAGCACTAAAATGAAGAGCATTAATCCTTGGCAGACCTAAGCCTAATTTCTAAACAGCATTGCAGTGTCTGGCCATAGAAATAGACAGGAAATGTATTATATGAATAGGGTACATTAGCCTTTTGCCCTAATTTTTCCCAATTGTTCAAATTTAGTGAACTATTTTAACTAAAAAAGTGAGTAACTTTTGCAAAAAGGCTACTTTTTTCCCAAGTTTTCAGTACACTAACCATACAATTAGAATTACCCCCTGTGACTAAAACAGCAACATATTTTATCAAAAGAAAATGCCAATTTGAAATACAATTGTAGTATCAGCAATGTGATTCTGAAATAGTTAAATAATTCATTATGATTTTTCAACCTGAATCCCTTACTGTGCTTATATGACCTAAAGGTGATTTGCTCTAAAGAATGGTTTGGAGCAAAAAATGTGATGAAGTCTAGATGTCTATAAGCCTGTTGTGCATTTGGCTCGCATTGTTAAACTGGCAGCTGTTTTGAATTTTTGAGCAGTGGTAGGTAAGCCCTCCACTGAGGGAGCTCAATCAATCTTTACTGCTTTGTGAAAACATTTGGGTCAGTGCATAAATGATCTCCGAAATAGATATTAGAAAATGCTGAATATTTCACCATTCTATTACTGCCTATATTACTAATCATAATATCTCACTTGTAAGGTTTTTTTTCCAATATTACAGGCTGGTGAATGCATGCTATACACCTGTAGTTAGAACTCTTCGGACATAACAGGTGGGAAAAGTAGACACAGCAGTGGAGCTGAGGCAGGTGAGTACCAAAGGATGAGTAGTTTGTATTTTGTACACAACTCTGTCAGCTAAGATCTATTATCACTTGTCGCTTTTCTCCACTATTACACAATTTCTGACAGGTAGACCAATTATCACTTGTCACTCTTCTCCTCTGTTATTTAAATGTAATGTAATAAAATTAGTTTACATATAAATATACAGCAGTTTTGTACATATATATTTTAGTATAGTCAAGACCACAAAAGTACAATTTAAAAATTTTTTTTTCAGTTTTTAATTAGTTAAGTGTATATACGTGTTTTTCATTTTCAGACAGCTGGTGGAACTTTAAACTCAGTTTCACATTTTACAGTTTATCCTTATTTGCTTTGCTGAAGAAAGACTGCCGCTTACAGTGATCAGTAGGTCAAGATGAAATTAGCTCATCCGAATGCAGTAACCCCTACCACTCACTCAGCCACTCTGGCTGCCTGTATAAACACTTCAAGACTGAACACCTTCACCCCTCTCCTGCCCAGGCCATCTTTCAGATTTCAGTGCTGCCACACTTTGAATGACTGTTATAAAATTAATTTGGGTACAGTGTTGCATGACTGAGTGTCAGGAATGGACTGGCCAGCAATAGTGGGACTCAGCTGCCTTATGAGCTGCAGTACCAGGGCTGGCCAGCGGGTGCTCCCAGCAATCAGAGACTCAACCTTGCAGCCAGTCAAACACCTGGAACTAATTATACTGGTGTATTTAAGGACATTCAGACCTGCAAACTCTGCCTTGGTGTTGTGTTTCTCTTGGGCCCTGTATCCTGTTCCTGCTCTCTGTTCCTGTCTGATTCTCTGCTGACCCTGCTCTGATCCCTGGCTTGTCTGACCATTCTCCTCTGCCTGACCCTCTGTACCACGCTGCCCGCTACCTGCTGAACCTGGCCTGTGACCCCGACCATTCTCCGCTTGCTCCCCCTTTACCTACCTGCCCGACTGATATTGACCCGGCCTGCCTGACGACGCTTGCATTGTATGTACTGTTATCTGTGGGTGGTTGGTTGGTTTGTTTGCACTGTGTTATGTTTTAGTATTGCACTGCGTTTATGTTTGTATGGTTAGTGTTAATAAATTACATTGTTTATAACATATCTGAAGTCTGCGTTTCCCTGCGTCAGTCACACACCTCTGGTCATACCCGGGAGCTCTGACATTACACCAAGGCCAATCCTGACCAGAAGTGGCTGCACAGGGAAGCCATCTTGGCTTGTTGATGGGAAGGATGGATCTGGATGAGGTTGCGTATTTATATCTGCTAGTGTTTGATGACAGGGAGTATGCTTATCAAACTCTGAAGGAGTATCCCCGGGATGAACTGCTAGAATGTATACGGCTCGCTCATGTTTCTAGTAGATCAGGGCACAGAGTTCTCTGAGGTGCAGCCTTTGATTGAGGTTTGTGCTGAGTTGGTTTCATCTGGTACCCCCCGAATGCAGGGATGAATTTTTGCCACCATTTAGTGCAGACCAGGTAGAGTCCCTGGTGTGGTTATTAGAGGATGATGTGGGTTACTTTCTGGAGCGTTATTCCACATGTTCACCACAGACACTAAGAGATTGTATAAACGCAGTGCGTCTTTGGTCAGACAGGCTTTGTGTAAGCTCAGCTTTGTTCAACCCATACTGCAGACATGGACAGACTTGTTGCACCCAGCCTCAGTCAGCTTACAGAAACCCAGTCCTGCTTCTAATCTATTTCCTCAAAACTCTATTCCTGCATTCCCAACAGCTCCTTCTGCCCTGCTAGCTACCGCATGTCAGTACCCTGTTCCCACTCGCTGCACCTATCCTGCCTTTAACCCTGTAAAAAAGCCCTCTGTAGCAACTGCTCCCTCTCCTGTTCCATCCTCCAGTTCTTCTCTGTCTCCAGCTGCTCCATTCGTTTGCAGACCTGCGTTTACTTGCAGTACTCCAGTAGTTAAAACCAGAAAAAAGCGAAAATTGTTTCCAACCAATACCATCCTGCCAGTATCCAAACCGGTGAACCTGCCTTCCGTGGTTCAGCCTGAAGCCTCTACTCAGCCTGATGCCTGTACTCAGCCTCATGCCTGTACTCAGCCTGATGCCTGTACGCAGCCTGATGCCTCTACTCGGCCTGATGCCTGTACGCAGCCTGATGCCTCTCTTCAGCCTGAAGCCTCTACTCGGCTTGAAGCCTCTACTCGGCCTGAATCCTCTACTCAGCCTGATGCCTGTACTCAGCCTGATGCCTGTACTCAGCCTGATGCCTGTACGCAGCCTGATGCCTCTACTCGGCCTGATGCCTGTACGCAGCCTGATGCCTCTCTTCAGCCTGAAGCCTCTACTCGCCTGATGCCTCTACTCGGCCTGAAGCCTCTACTCGGCCTGATGCCTCTACTCGGCCTGAAGCCTCTACTCGGCCTGAAGCCTCTACTCAGCCGGACGCCGGCATTCAGCCTGATGCCTCTACCCAGCGTGATGAACTGATCCAGCCTGACGATCCTATTAGGCCAGTTGACTCGATGCCCGCTGTTGATCCAGATGATCCGGTACCTGATCCGGTGCCCGCTGTCGTGCCAATTGACTCAGAGCCCGCTGTCGTACCTGGTGACTCGGTGCCCACTGCCTTGCCAGATGACGCGGGTGCCCGCTGGCGAGCCAAATGACCTGATGCCTGGTGACCCAGTGCCCGCTGTCATACCTGGTGACCCGATGCCCGCTGTCGAGCCAGACGATCCAATGCCTGGTGACCCGGTGCCCACTGCCTTGCCAGATGACGCGGTGCCCGCTGGCAAGCCAAATGACCTGATGCCTGGTGACCCAGTGCCCGCTGTCATACCTGGTGACCCGATGCCCGCTGTCGAGCCAGACGATCCAATGCCTGGTGACCCGGTGCCCACTGCCTTGCCAGATGACGTGGTGCCCGCTGGCAAGCCAAATGACCTGATGCCTGGTGACCCAGTGCCCGCTGTCATACCTGGTGACCCGATGCCCGCTGTCGAGCCAGACAATCCGGTACCTGATGACCGGTGCCCACTGTCGTGCCTGTTGACTCGGAGCCCACTGCCTTGCCAGATGACGCGGTGCCTGCTGTCGAGCCAAATGACCTGATGCCTGGTGACCCGATGCCCGCTGTCCAGCCAGACGATCCAATGTCTGACCCAGTGCCAACGGTCATGCCAGTTGACTCGGAGCCCACTGTCGTGCCTGGTGACTCGGTGCCCGCCGCTTCGCCTGGGGGCCCGAGACCTGTCGCTCCACCTGGGGGTCCGGCGCCCGCCGCTCCGCCTGAGGGCCCGAGACCTGTCGCTCCACCTGGGGGTCCGGCGCCCGCCGCTCCGCCTGAGGGCCCGAGACCTGTCGCTCCATCTGGGGGTCCGGCGCCCGCCGCTCCGCCTGAGGGCCCGAGACCTGTCGCTCCGCCTGGGGGTCCGGCGCCCGCCGCTCCGCCTGAGGGCCCGAGACCTGTCGCTCCGCCTGGGGGCCCGAGACCTGTCGCTCCGCCTGAGGGCCCGAGACCTGTCGCTCCGCCTGGGGGGCGGGCGCCCACCGCTCCGCCTGAGGGCCCGAGACCTGTCGCTCCACCTGGGGGTCCGGCGCCCGCCGCTCCGCCTGAGGGCCCAAGACCTGTCGCTCCACCTGGGGGTCCGGCGCCCGCCGCTCCGCCTGAGGGCCCGAGACCTGTCGCTCCACCTGGGGGTCCGGCGCCCGCCGCTCCGCCTGAGGGCCCGAGACCTTTCGCTCCATCTGGGGGTCCGGCGCCCGCCGCTCCGCCTGAGGGCCCGAGACCTGTCGCTCCGCCTGGGGGTCCGGCGCCCGCCGCTCCGCCTGGGGGCCCGATGCCTGTTGCCCCGCCTGGGGGCCCGATGCCTGTCGCCCCGCCTGGGGGCCTGATGCCTGTCGCCCCTCCTGGGGGCCCGACGCCTGTCGCCCCGCCTGGGAGCCCGACGCCTGTCGCCCCGCCTGGGGCCCGACGCCTGTCGCCCCGCCTGGGGGCCCGACACCTGTCGCCCCTCCTGGGGGCCCGGCGCCCCGCCTGGGGGCCCGATGCCGGTCGCCCCGCCTGGGGACCCGATGCCGATCGCCCCGCCCGGGGGCCCGATGCCTGTTGCCCCCGCCCGGGGGCCCGGTGCCTGCTGCTCTGCCCGGGGGCCCGGTGCCTGCTGCTCCGCCTGGGGGCCCGCTGCCTGCTGCTCCGCCTGGGGGCCCGCTGCCTGCTGCTCCGCCTGGGGGCCCGGTGCCTGCTGCCCCGCCTGGGGGCCCGGTGCCTGCTGCTCCGTCTGGTGGCCCGATGCCTGCTGCTTCGCCTGGTAATCCGATGTGCCTCTGCCCGGAGTCCTGCCCGATGTGCCTCTGCCCGGAGTCCTGCCCGTGTGCCTCTGCCCGATGTGCCTCTGCCCGGAGTCCAGCCCGATGTGCCTCTGCCCGGAGTCCTGCCCGATGTGCCTCTGCTCGGTGTGCCGCTGCCCGGAGTCCTGCCCGGTGTGCCAGTCTTTGATATCCCGCCAGTTACCAGACCCAGGCGGTGGAACATTTTGCCCAGCTAGGACTGTTTGGAGCGTCCTGAGGCCGCTCCTTGAGGGGGGGGTACTGTCAGGAATGGACTGGCCAGCAATAGTGGGACTCAGCTGTCTTATGAGCTGCAGTACCAGGGCTGGCCAGCGGGTGCTCCCAGCAATCAGAGACTCAAGCTTGCAGCCAGTCAAACACCTGGAACTAATTATACTGGTGTATTTAAGGGACATTCAGACCTGCAGACTCTGCCTTGGTGTTGTGTTTCTCTTGGGCCCTGTATCCTGTTCCTGCTCTCTGTTCCTGTCTGATTCTCTGCTGACCCTGCTCTGATCCCTGGCTTGTCTGACCATTCTCCTCTGCCTGACCCTCTGTACCACGCTGCCCGCTACCTGCTGAACCTGGCCTGTGACCCCGACCATTCTCCGCTTGCTCCCCCTGTACCTACCTTAATAAATTACATTGTTTATAACATATCTGAAGTCTGCGTTTCCCTGCGTCAGTCACACACCTCCGGTCATACCCGGGAGCCCTGACACTGAGTATAGTTTGAGACATTGTTTGAGACAGATAAAGCTTTTTTGGCAATATTTAATCACCACTGGGATTTTTATTTTTTCTATAGAAAAGAAAAAAGATTGAAAATATTGAAAAACAAATGTTTTTCTTAGTTTTTGTTACCTAATTTTGCAAATAAATATCTTTCTTCATAAATGTAGGCTTAAATGTATTCTGCCACATTTCCTTGCTAATAATAACCCAAATCAGTATATATTTTGTAGTCTGTGTGAAAGTTATAGAGTCTACAAACTATGGTATGGACTAACTGGTTAGCACTTCCGGCTAGCAGCACTAGGGCCGATGATTTGAATTCCAATTACTGCACTACCTGCCTTAAGTTTGTATGTTCTCCCTTTGCCTGCGTGGGTTTCCTCCCAGTATTCTGGTTTCCTCCCATACTACAAAGACATGATGATAGGTTAATTGGCTCCTGTCTAAATTGTCCCTAGTATGTCCCTAGTGTGAATGTGAGTTAGGGACGTTAGATTGTAAGTTCCTTTAGGCCAGGGACAGTGAATGTACAATTATACTGTATATGTGTAAAGCACTGTGTAAATTGACAGCCCTATATAAGAGCATATAATAAAATAAATAAATGGTATATACTGTATATATTTGAAAATTGTTTAGTCCTGATGTTCTGACTGTCTATCTGTCACGTACCTGATAGGAGACGGAATTGACGAGGTCGGCCTCACTTGTGTCACTAACCCTGACCCCGCTGAGGTTGGAACAGAGGGAGTCTAGGGACCAGGGGGACAAGAGCGCCTGAGGTGGTTGCTTGTGGCTCTTGCAGATGATGGCCTGAGAAGGCAGTGTATCCTCTGATTTGAGTATTGTAATAGCAGACAGAGCAGGTTCTGGATAATGCCTGATGTGCAGCAGAGAAGGTAGGTAGCCAGGACACAGGACATGAGCAGGGTCAAAGGAAGCCAAGGTCATCAACAGTCGGGCAGCAAGGTACAGAATCAGTAGGGAAGCCAAAGTCAGGGGCAGAGCCGAAGTCAGGAACCAGGAGCAGGAGAGCAATCAGAGTTGGGTCAGGAACAAGCCGGGTCAGCACCAAAGGAATCACACAGGAACAGCAGGACAGAGGGGGAGGCTGAAGACCAGTCAGCAGTGAATCATCATTGAGGTGCTCCTTAAATAGCCCACCCAGTGCCGACAGGCGCGCCTGGGTCCTAGTGCCTGCCAGTTCCGTCATTGGTGACAGGCGCGCCTGGGTCCTAGTGCCCGCCTGCCTGTATGCCCTGTCGGGATCCTGCGCCTGTGCAGATTCATGTGCTGAAGCGATCTTCTTGTTCCCTGACACTATCTCATTACTTGAGGTCCTAAAATGCCAGAACAGTGTGAATACCTCCAACATAACCCCTTTTTGAAAGCTAAAAAGTCCAGGGTGTTTAACAAGAGGTATTGTGAGTTTTTTAAAGTTGTAATCTTTTGCCACACTTTTATGTAAAATATAAAAAAAGTAAATGTGTTCTTTTTTCACAAAGCTGTCATTTTAGCAAGTTATTTCTCACCGCATAGAGGGGCCCAAAATTAAAGGAGTACATTCAAAGAGCGTAAATTGCAATTCTAATTTCCTGACTACATATCACAATTTTAGAGGCTCTGGAGCACCAGGACAGTGGAACACTCATAAAATGACCGCATTTTGGAAAGCAAACACCCCAACATATTTTCTAAGGGGCACAATGAGTCTTTTGAAAATGCTGAAAATGTAAGGAAAATGAAAATTCATTTATTTTTACACAAAATTATAATTTCCATAATAGACATACTTAGAATTACACCCCAAAACACATTCTGATAATCCTCCCGAGTATGGGATACCACACATATGAGACTTTTTCAATGTTTGTACTGATTATGTGCTCACTCCGTGGGCTTGGTTTTGTTATTTTATTAGGGGAAATTAACTTGGATAGGGAAATAGGGATTATGGGATGCCCAGTTTGCCTTGAATCAGTAAAGGGGGGACAACATCTTTTCTATGTATAAAAAACAGACCCTGGACTGTTCTTTTCCATGAAAGCCGTCAGTCTTTGCACATCGGTAGCAACAGCCCTTTATGGGTGAGGAACTAGCAGCCACTCCAGAAATCAACTTAGCTTCTTGTAACCACATGTAGAGATATCTTAGAAGCTTCTCAGAAGATCTCCTGGGACAGGATAAAGGATTGAGCACAGCGCTGTCCTTTGAAATCTTGCTACATTTGCTCTTTCCCCTTGTAGATCCCAGGGAGTGTTGATGTACTCACTCTGTCCTCTTTGCATCCCACTGCTCCAAGTCTCTATCCCATTCATGCCTCACTGCTGAGTGTATCCTCTGGAGGCCAGCCCCCCTTAGACCTAGGGGACCCACTCTCAGACACCGACAGTCTCTTCAGCACTCAATCTCCTACCCTCCTCTGGAGGCCTGACTCTCCCATAGTTATGTACCAGTCCACCACTATACCAGGGCTTGCAAACATGGGATTGGCTGGACTCCCATAAACATGTAAACATGCAGAATAGGTCTCCACCCCTTCTTGCTTACTGACATCTGGACTTATTAGCAGGACTTTCATACAGTGCATTGTCTATTATTATTTGCATTAGGAAGCACTACTGCAGGTCTAAGTGACTATAGGAATAGTATTTAACTGGAACAAGGGTTGAGCGCCTGTTTTATCTTTTCTTTTTTACAACCTGTACTGAGCAACTATTGAATGTAGTGTTCTGTTTCCATCTCCATCTATTTCATTTTATCTTTTGGTTCTACATGGAGTGGCACTACACCACTCTACTGTATGTCCATGGACACAATTTCATCAAATGAAATGTCTTCAGCATCACTGTTTGGACATCATCCTGTTAGCATTCAACTAGATGGAGAGTCTAGTGCTTCTAACACAACCATTATTAGTGACTCAGGTAGTTTACAGTGGTTTCTGTTCTGTTTCTTACTTCTTATTTTGTCCTTGACCTAGATGCTTCTAGATATACTGAGAAAAATGTACAGGCTTCTCTGTATTCCTGTACAAATGGTGGGTTTTTTTTTGTGGTTCTTTCCTCTAATTCCTATGTCACTGCTGAGCCCCATATTGATATAGGGGGTCGGAGGAAGGGACCACAGTTTGTGACGGGGACAGCCATCTGACACTCCTGGAAATGTTGAATGCTGAAGATACAGAGACTTCAAGGATAAAACACGAGGGACACCAGAGAGTGTCTTCTTTTGCAGGGCACCTTTATTT